CAGCACCATCACCACGCTCACCACTATCCTCAAGTGGCACATCCATATGTTTTCTGAACACTCCCAAGGATGGTGACTCCAGCACTTCCCTGGGACAGCCTGTCCCAGTGCTTTACAACCCTTCCCATGAAAAAACTTTTCCTAATCTATTCCTGCCCTGATGCAACTTGAGGCCAGGTGCTCAGGACAGTCCATCACACTGGACACCATCCCTTGCAGTTCACCTGAACTTGAATAAAAGCAGCTTCTCCAAAGCTCTTCCTTGCAGTGACCTGTCAGCCAGAGCGAGGCAGCGAGTTCACAGCCCTGTCCTCTCCCTGCTCCACCCCTCAGCTGCCTGGATCTGCTGGGGGCACAACCCAGAGCTCAGCTCAGCTGGGATTAGCCTGGGCTCCTCTCACACACACGATGGAAAGCCCAGAGCAGGTCTGGCACACCCAGACACGGCTCATGCAACCTCCTCGGGGCTCCAGCCAATCCTTCCCTTTGAGGACCAGCCACGGAGCTGCTGCCCCAGCAGAACAGAGGAGACCAAGCCCTGGGAGATGCTGAGAGCTCCAGCCTTCATCCCACACCAGTGCCATCCTCACTTGTCTTCCTTTCAAACTTGAGGTTCAAGTTATGATCAGAGCAACACTCAATAATGTTTAGAAATCTCCAGGATTGGGCTAAAATTAAGCTTGTGGTGAAACAGGTCTGATTTTAACCAGCTGTTTGGGAGTTGCAGCCAGTACCACTGAGATTCATAGCCTCTGGAAACAGCTGCATGATCCCAATTCCTTGATTTATCTGTTAAAAGATATTCTGGCACAGCTGACGAAGCTCCTACTACCATTACTCCCATCACTGGGTTAACACCGAGCAAAACCGGGCCCTGCCACACTCTGCAGGAACACAGTGAGATTAGAGGCTCAATTGCATCATGAAAACCCGATGGAGATAAGATCTCTGAATTTACCAAGGCATTGTGTATCAGTTGTTTCTCAGCCACTAAAAATAAACCCAAAAGGAAACCAAGATATTGGAGATTTGCAGGCTGAGACAATCCCTCAGGCTGCAGCTCCAGGCAGTGAGGGTCAGGATGAAGGAGAAGCAGAAGTTGGGATGAACTGAGCTGCGTGGTTTTAAGGTCCCTCCAACCCAAACCATTCTGTGATCCTATAATCCTGTTTTGCCAAAAAGCAGCAATGGGATTTGATGTTCCTGCTGCTGAGCATTTCCCTCCCTTTCTGCCAGGTTCTCCACCATCCCCAAGCCATAACAAAGAGCTGTTAGCAAACATCATTTGCTCATCAGACAAGTTTCCTGATTTAATCTCTGTGCTCGTTTCCTAAGTGCTGCTGAGCTGGATAATAAACTTTTTACCTCCTTTTGGGACTAAATTTCATGCTTTCAGCTGCTAAAAACATTAACAGATGGTAAATTACCACTCCAGGTAGTTGTCCAAAAGATAAGCAAGACCTGCATTCTATTGTCTTCCTAAACACGATTTAAGATGTTCTCTGTAACCAAAAGGAAACCTGATGATTACAACGCTGATGGGAACTGCTTAAGTGTGAGGGAGCTTCACACCCAGAAATGTATCTGCAAAAAACAAAAAAAATCCCACAAAACAGGGTTCCCTATGTGATGCTTTATGTTTGCATCGTGAATTGAGGACAAATATCACTTCTATCACTTTTTCTTTGTACAGTTGTGGTTCAGAGAACCATTTATTTCTGTGCTGGTGAATTCAGCTCACTGGGAATGTACACAAGTGAGAGGGAGCTGTGATGGCTGAGAAAAATACCCCAAATGAAGCCAAACCCTAAACAACTGTCATTCTCAAAGTCTGATGCAGAACAGATAGATTTATAGTTTGCCACAGAATGGTTTGGGTTGGAATGGACCTTAAAGCCCATCCAGTCCACCCTTGCCACGGGCAGGGACACCTTCCACCAGCCTAGATTGCTCCAAGCCCTGTCCAACCTGTCCTTGGACACTTCCAGGGATCCAGGGGCAGCCACAGCTTCTGTGGGCAACCTGTGCCAGGGTCTCACTGCCCTCACAGGGAAGAATTCCTTCCCAATATCCATCTAATCCTGCCCTCTGGCAGGGAGAAGCCATTCCCTTTGTCCTGTGAGTCCAAACCCTTGTTCCCAGTCCCTCTCCATCTCTCCCAGACATCCTTCAGGCTCTGGAAGGGTCTCTCAGGTGTCCCTGGAGCTTTCTCAGGAGTCTCCCAGCCTGTCTCCAGAGCTGAGGGGCTCCAGCCCTGTGAGCATCTCCAGCAGTACACTATCCTAAATTTAGTAACACCATCCCAGAGCACAACCCCAAAGCAGCCGCTGCCGTTTGTTCCAAGCACAGACGTGAAGCATCGCCGTCCCAAGGAACAGAATTCCCGTTCGGGAAGGGTGGGGGGGCGGTGGAACACACACACACACACAGGAACGCCCCAAAACACCAAAAGTCCCTCACAACCCCCTGCGAGGGGCCGAAGCGCGGGCACGGAGGGAAGATCGGAGCGCTAATCGACACTAATTAACGCCGCAGCTCATTAAGGGGCACGGCTCAACGGCGCTCACCCCGCTCCCTGCAGCCAGGACACCGCAGAACGGGGGGCACCAGGGGCAAAGCATCTCCCCCCACCCCCGGGCACCCCCGATCCCCGCGCGGGGATCCCCGCACGGTTCTTACCGGGGCGCAGCGGGCTCGGATCTGCCCGCGCAGCATCCCCGCAGCCCTTAAACCGGGCGCGGCCGCCCGTCCCGCCCCAAAACCCGCCCCAAAACCCGCCCCGCCGTCCCACCCGGACCCCGCTAACTTCAGCTCTTCCACGGCGTTTCCACCCTCCTAGAAATAACGTTTGAAGCATCCCTGCGGTGCTCCCACAGCCCAGTCTGGTGTGAATTGACGGGGTCCCCTCACCGTTTGTGTTCTGGGAGGAGTTCACCTCTGTTATCTGTGCTGACACAGTTGTTCTCAAGTATTTTTTTACACGCTTTTTTTTTTTTTTGCAGTATTCTCATCAGAGGGAAAATATAGAATTCCCACCAATTCAGTGCTCCATCCTTCCAGCATCCCAAAATACACTATATTTTTCTTTCTTTCCTTTTTTTTTTTTTTCCCCCTAAGAACTGTGGCTTTGTAAAATAACCTGCCCCAGAGGAAGTGTCACTTTGCTCAGTTGTGGATATTTTAAGTGTGGGCTGTCCTACTCTGAATTTTCGATGAACTGTATTGGGTTTTTTTTGAGGATGTATAATATGCTGTTTCCACCTTATGCTAAAAAGGAATTAAGGTTTTGAATATTTTCAGGGATGGAGGTCCAAGAGCCTCCAAGATTGGGCAACTCATCACACCTCCTGCACCCTCCTACCATGGGAGCTGGTTCTGTAGCTTGTTTTATTTGTGGTGCACATTCTGCTGTTACCCCACTCTGCCATTTCTTCTGCTTTTTCTGGTACCTTCTTTTGGCCATTCCTTCTGCTTTTTGCTGCTGCTTTGTTATTCCTTCTCCTTTTCTTTTTTTTGCCCTTCCTTTTTCTTTTCTGCCCTGGATCTCAAGAACAGGAAGATTTCTGGTCACAGACTGAGGTTGGTGTGTGATTGAGGAAGCTGCTGCTGCTCCAGATGTGCTGGAAGAGCAGTCAGAGTTTTGGTGTGGGAAGGGTTTCCACACTGGACTCCAAAGAGGAGCTCGAACTGCAGCTCTGGGGTGGCCAAGGGGACACGTGGAATCTGGTGGGGGCCAGGGATGATTT